TAGGTTATCACCATGCTAACTTCTCTAAAACAAAAAAGAATTTTGATTATTTTTAATAGTGGAGTCCTACAACCCTATAAAACTTTCCATATACTTCTTTTTTGTTTATTCTGAGTAGTTTTATTTTTTTTAAAAAGTACTTTAAACTGTATATATAAGGGTCAAAATGTTAATAGTGAATTATTAACTTATATCATAAATGGTGGCAGAGAAAGTTTTAATATTTTTAATAATTTCAGCATTCTTGAACCGAATTATGTTAATAATAAGGTTATTCGAGATGAGTTTAAAGATTTAATTCAACTAGGTAATTAATATAGTACCAGATCATTTAAAAATATTATTTCATTACAACGATTAATCACAATTAATTTTTTTATTTAAAAGCATGGAAGAATTGCCCTGATGAAAGGATTCTCTTGAGTACATTATATTTGAGACTTTCAAAATTGTCTTCAATTGCGCATTCTTCGGAAACTGCCGATTCTTGTGTCATTAGTGACTTAATATCACATAAAAGCTCACAAGATAATTTCAGGCAAGGTATAAATCAGATTTTAACAATTGAAGAAGGAATCAGCCTTCATAGATCTAAGAAACCTGAGAACAGAAAAAAAGCATGGAAATGTTTTGAAGACAATATTAAACTTAAGAGCTCTATTGCTATTTTTTGGAAGGCTTATTATTTATGGGAAGGACTTTACCCAACTGGCGTAGAAAGGTCTGAAGAGCAAAAAGAGAGAGAACAATCAGAAGCTCGTGAATTGTTCAAAAAGGCTGCCGATGAAGGTGTGACTGATGCACAATTCCGGTATGCATCTTCATTACCAAATACGAGGGATTATACGGCGAAACGGCAGAAATTGGAAATGTGACATCATTATTTAATCCCTTACTTTTGTCCATAATAACGTTTATTTTCCCATGTAAATAAACATCACCTAAATTAAATATTTAGAGTTGGCAGCTTGGAAAGGTTATATGAAAGCTAGTGAAATGCTTAGAAATAATTTGTGTATTATTTGCTTTACATTGTATAAAAATTGACGTATTTTATTCTAAAATATCTAAGATTTTCGGGTATCTATTTTATCAAGAGGTAAAGATATATTGAGGGCATTTATTTGATATTACAGTATTTATATAAAAGGCGCCAATTCTATAAATAAAGATATTTTTTAAATTAAGCTATTCAAATCCATAATTACATATTGCTTAATTAATTGTTAACAATTAATGAATTTTTTGTATATGTCCAAATTTTAAATACCATTAGAATATAAGAGTTTTATTATATAAACGATTAATTTTATAACATTAACAAAAAAATCGAATAAATTAATCTAAATAATAATAAAAAAAAAAAAAAAAGAATATAAAAAATATAGCCACACATTAAAATCTAAACTAAATTATAAAATATTTATTAAGATTTAAAGTTAGAATAATATTTTGTAAAAGCTTCAACTACCATAATACCTTATTGTACATCCTCATTTCCTTCATTATTTTTATTAAAATTTAAAGTGGTTTTTTTGCAGTTTATACCATATTTTTTCTTTAACGTCAATATAATTTCAAAAAATAAATACAATAATACTAAATTTATTATTGCCAATTTGTAAAATTAGAATGTTCTTGTTAAAATGTTCTAACAATGCTATTGCACCACTATAACCAATATCATTATGGCTAATATCTAAAAATTTGGAGTATTATTTTGTTGAAGAGCTTGCGTTAATACACATATTCCTATATCTCCAATTTAGTTGGAGAAAATATTTAAATTAGGGTAGTGTTTACGTGTAAAACCTCAGCTAATGCTATAACACCTTCATCACCAATGTTACATTAATAAATATTTAAAGAGATTAGAGTAGAATTAAAACGAAGGGTCTTAATTAATGCTTTCCTCCCTCAAAACCAATATTACTATATGAAAGATATAAAGAAGTCGGAATATTCTTGCTAAACGCCTTTGGTAAAATTTTTCTTCCTTCAAATCTTATATAATTGTAGGAGAGATTTTCTGCTAATTCTTTTATTTATTGTATACCGAAATAATATTTAAAGAAGTTAACGTAGTGTTTTTTTAAAAGCTACTTTTTAATGCTTTTATTTTAAGGAGGTTAGGATAGTGTTTTTGCTAATAGCCTACAATAAAATATTTATTCCTTCGGGATCCAAAACGTTAAGACTTAAAGAAAATAATGTTTCACAAAGATTTTTTGGATCTCTTGCAGTATAGGTGAGACTATTAATAAAAAGTATAATTAATCAATTGATTTAGAATTGGTATTTATATTGCAAAAGATCCGATTTTTTAATTTCTCTATTATAAATTATTCTACCAGCATTTAAATGTTTGAGATTCTTGCTCGTAGAAATATTGCAATTAGAGAACCTTCAACAACGCTTGTTAGCTTATCAAAATAATACTTAACATATTACTGAAGTCAATACTGTATCTGACTCCACAGATATAGTATAGCTTGGGTATTCAAATAATGCTTTTTGATACTGTAGTTTGCTGAAATAATAAATTTAATAGATTAACTGGACTCGTTCTTCATCGTTTATTGCTAAAACATACATCTCTATAAACCGCCTAACATCAATATAAACAGTTGACATGCACCATAATATTGGTATAATTATTCTACACCAGCGACGGCTTACAAGAAGGTGAAACGAGGTGCGTAGATACACGTATGATGTTTAGTATGCTACGCTGCGCTTGTGTGACAGCGCTTTGAAGCCGCCCTGGCCGATTCAAGACATTTGTACCGTATGTTATTATACTTTATACGTAATTTATTATTATAAAAAATAAAAGAAGCTATTATATACTTGTTCTGTCCTTAATGATGATAAATATATTTATCTGTTATCGATTCTTTTTACATATCAATCGATATTTATGTTTAATAGCTGATGCCAAAAAGCAAAACTAACATACTGTCGAAACATGTTTTTAGTTGTCGAACATGCTAGTACTGTGGAATTAACTTACAAAAAAAAGCTTTAATTGCAAATTATCAGATGTGTCACGTAAAGATAATCGAACCGCTGCTATAAAACATGCATTTATAAATCAAATTGAATGAAAGAACATGTGAAATATGTTGTCAAAAGATAACACTTTGAAATTATTCAATAGGTTCAAAGAATAGTTACAACTCACTATTTTCTATATATTCAAAACACTTTGCACAAAACTTTTATTAAAATATGAAAGTTTGCAACAAGTAATAATAATTATTGTAATGTAAATAATTATATGCCATTTCAAGGCATTACTGTATACAAAATCTATTGTTAAAAAAAAAAATAAGAATATTATGTACCGGAATAATGTTCCGTTTGCAAAAAGGTGTGACCTTTGCAGATCACAATGTCATGTAAAATCACGAGAAATCAGCTGATTCTAGAAGATTTTTCGATTCTTAGAGAATTTTAAAGATTCCGAATAAAATATTGACGTTATTGATCGAAAATTATGATCAATAGGGAACTAAAATCTCAGAAAAATTCCGCTATCACCAGGTCATACCTTTTTTTTGCAAACCGCTATAATATTTTCATGATTCTTAAAATCACGAACAGTCTGTAAAATCTCTGATTCTTACATAGCATCGTGTACTTCTGATGATGCATGTATATCAACTAATATTATACTATATCTACGTAAATATATACCAGGTGGGTGAAAAGTCTCTATACAGGTCACTTTTTTTTTAATCACTAAAATAGTAATCATTGCAATAATATATATAAATTGTATTTAAAATTAAGTACTATAAATCTTAGCGGAGATAGTAAAAAAAGGGTCCTGTATAGAGACTTTTCACCCACCCGGTATAATATATATTTATTTTAGTATACATTTTAAAAAATCTTTCTAATAACCAAACATTCTGGAACATGCTTTGGATACACAAAGTATCTTTTTGTGCAACATCTAAAACTTATTGTATCTTTAAAAAAAAATATCATGTAATAGTAAAATTTATCTGGTTAAAAAAAAAAGAACAAATTTATAAAACAATCAAATACTTTACACCACGATGAATGTGCAAATTATACTTCTACTAAGGTTTTTTTTGATTTAAAAATTTCACAATTTGCAAATCGCAACAAATCGACAAGTGCATTTTAAGTTATTTTATCTTAATCCGGCTATTATAATATCGTCATCAAAATCAGGCACAAACGTAATCACTACTTCGAACTCTGTGGAAGCTTGTCGACAACGAAGTGATAGGGCGTACATTATTGCAGATCAGATGACTTTATTTCGGTCACATGTGTAAATTTGTTTATCCTTTTATGCCATGTTATTTTCACATGATTGCATATGTTGTTAGCGATTGTCAGATCGCAAAATCAATAAGCTAGAAATGATAGGCCATATTTCCACATGTAAATATTGGTGCGATAAATTAGTTGTTTAATTAGGAAAATTTAAGCTGTCCTATGTATATGTTAAGGGATTTATCTATCGCTCGCCTTAATTTTGAGGATTACACTAGCGCTAGTAACCGCATAAAATTTTCGCGGACACGTGACTTTAACCAATCATGACACAAGATCAGGTGTAACGTGAAAAGCCTGTTTTTTCAAAAAGTCCATAACTCAAAATTTCGATTATAAAACCACTTACTGCGCATTAACAAAAAAATATTCCTTGCAAAATTTTGGTATGAAAAATCGAAAAATACGTTGACTCAATGAAATTTCGCGAATTGTGCGGTAACTATTGTCGATCCCATAGCCCGCCATTTGAACAAACTCAAAGTTACGCCATATGCGTAACTGACACACAAAATAACCTACAACGATCGATTGGGCTTGGCATCGGATTTACACTATATACAATATATAGAGGCTGGTTTTATCATCCCGCTCCCGTTTTTTCCTCCAGGCTTGTCTGTTTTTTAGGTAGGTCAGGCTCCCTGGCTTCATTTCAGTGCAAGGACCTGGAGTAGCAGATGTTAGGCTCTGCGACTGCAGATGCAGTATATGGACTAGTGATGTGTAGAAACTTTAAGTATCGGGACAAGCCAAACGTAACTATGTTATAACTCATTATAACGTTTCGTTTTAAAATTACGATATGTATATATACTGTATTGTTTCAACATGTCAATATTTTATTATGTGCCATAACCTTTTAATTTTACAAGAGGGCATTTATTATTAAATGGATTATGCACTTGTACATTGTTAGTACTCATAATATTTGCTATTTATTATATATCAAAGTAATTCTGTGTGAATTAATTTGTATAACGCCAGAGAAGCACTTTGGCAAAGAGCTTTGTTGGGTGCGAATATTTTAAATTGACTTAGTAGCGTGAAGAACTTTTACGATAGGATTTTTGTCTTACATGAAGAACTTGTCTTGGTCACACACAAACTTCATTTGCAAGAATTTTTATTTTGATTGTCTCCTAAATAATTTCCAATATCAACATATTCCCAAACTAGATCCAGTTTAGGTCCACCACGATTTTTTTTTGGGTAAAGTTGAAGCGAATGCCTCCTCTTCAGACTGAGTATTATAAATACTATCGTTGCATTGAAATATTACTATATTCGGGTAAAGTGTATAACTTTTGATTAATGCTATTAATATGGATTAATTTTTTTTGATTGGTAATATGTATTCTTAAGCACATCCATTATAAAAAGGGTTTCACTAACAAAAATTTTTAGAAAACAAATTTATTTCAGCACTTAGTAATAATAAAGTCTCTAATCGAGCAATAATAAAATATTATTTTGATTAGCATAGAACTTATAAAATTGTGTTTTTAGAGGAGAAAACTTTTTTTATTTTTTAACTGATTATTCGAATAGTCATTGTAAATGC